TGTATTTACTTGAAAATATTCCCTACACTTTACTTGTGAATTTACTCTACATAGTTTCTTACATCAACTCAGACATAATGTAATTACTTCTAATGCTAATGCTATAGAGAGTTACTTCTATTGCATAGCTAAGTTACTTCTACAGTTTAAATAAATTACTTTTAATTAATAAAATATTTAAATATATTCAACATTGATCTCATTTTGTCACATATTTTTAGTGGAGTATAATAGTGCAAATAGATCTTTAAATAATATATGATTTAAAAGATATAAGCCATCAAAGAGGTTTAAAAAAGAGCTAAAGAGATATTTATAAGTGGGATAGAGTGATCGCTGCTTTAACCAAGCCAGCAACCGTGCACTGTGTAATCGTGTCTCATAAGGAGGTGCCCTAAGCTGCTTCCCTGGACTTTTGCATTTGAGCATTTCAAAGATAATCCCTTGCCAAAAGCTATATTTTTGTTTATCTTTTTGATCTTCTGGGGGCATGGAGGGGTGCAGAAGTTCAATTCTAGAGGATTGTATAAGCATTCGGAGATAAGATCGACCTTTGAAACAAGTCCGGTCGTTTAATGGATGAGCTACTTTCTCTAGTCATAAATATTAGGGACTATCTAAAATTCTAGCAACAGATTTTTTAGAAAAATCTTTCAAATGTAATCAGTGTAAGTTATATGTAATTACTGTTTAACTAATGTGTAATTTTTATTTCAGTTCAAATTTGAATAACTGCTCACTTGGTTAAGGCGTGATGCGTGCGACCAGTTGGTCCTACGATCGAATCCCCGATCTTGCAGTTTGCTGTGTTTTTTTATCTCTGGCAACCAGCACGGATCTAATCACGAAATCAATGGACCAGAAATCGAAAGATATCCATAAAAAAAAAATCTGTCGACAGATTTGTACCCTTTCCGTAAATAGTAAACGTTTAGCACAAAGTTTGGTCAAAAGTTTAACGCTTTGATATAGGAGAAGTTTGTAAAACCTAATAAGCTTATGATATTATAATTAATATTACTTTTCTAGACAAAGCCACACAAACTATATATTTTATTCGTTTTTACCTAAGCATTTCAAAAGTTACTTACAGTCTAAGTATCAATACAAAGTATCAACAGTGCTATCAAATCTTGTTATAAATGCCACATATTTATGACCAGAGGGAGTAGGTTTTTTAACTTGGCTGAGTGAACTAGGTCAAATTTCGGGTCTAAAGACCAATATTGCTGCAGCGTTGATGCTGAAACCCATTGGATTGGAATGTTTGGAAAATGGGTTAGGAGAGGTGGGATTAAAAAATAGAAATGAATGGAGGGATATGATGAAATGGGTGAGAAGAATGGATGGCTAAGATTAAAGCTTACCCTTTGAAGGGGTGGAAAATCATATTCCAAACCCATTTTGCAAACACAGCCAAAAAGTGTACTATACTGAGGGTGTGTTTAGTTCACGCTAAAATTAAAAGTTTGGTTCAAATTGGAATGATGTAACAAAAAAAGTTAAAATTTTATGTGTGTAGGAAAGTTTTGATATGATAAAAAAATTGAAAGTTTGAAAAAAAAAACTTTGTATCTAAACTCGGCCTTAGTCCTACGGTCCTACCAGGCCTGAGAACAGAGGTCGGAGTATTAATGTACCGGATTGGACTTCAGTACGCTGCTATCATTTTCTTTTCAAAAGAAAAAAAAGAAAAGATGAGTAGTACTCGTAGGACGAAAATGTAAAGGGCTCACACCTTTAAATACTTGTCTACCAGGCCAGGGTGCTACGTTGCTGCCAAAAACCAGGAAAACCACGCAGAGCCGGAGAAGAAAAGGACCCTAGAAAAAGGTTCATCAGGACCACCATTTTGCGCAATAATAAAGCTCACGCAGACTTGCTAAATGGCGAGCTGCTCTTTTTCTGCCTTGCATGTTCTTATTACATAGTAGTCCTATAAGATTTTATAACATTAATGGAAATATATGTGCTTGATCGCATCTCTGCAAAACATTAGATGGAAAACTTCTGCTGTCTGCAAAAACATTAGATGAAAAACTTCTGCCCTGATGCTGCAGTAGTACAAGCGCTATTGCAAATCGTCAGCGCTATAAAGATGATCAGATTCCCCTCTCGACGTCAATCAGCTGGTCCAGCCGGCATGAGCAATGGCCATGTCAGGCGATCAACAGTTGAATTAACTCAAACTTCACCCCCCCCCCCCCTTGTACTGTTCTGTCTGCACGCTAAACGATAGAGAGTTTGTAATAAACCATGATGCGTTTTCCAGGCAATCACTCGACTCTAAATGAATTAAGTCTGCATCCCAGCTAGAGCCATGCATTAGAGGCAAACATTCTGGTTTGCACTCCACTGCATACAGACGATCATCATATCGATCCTCTTCTTCAATCAATGCCGTGCCCATTTCTCGCGCATTGCCTTTTCAGAGTTTCAGTTCCTAGGACGGAGCAATTCTGGACACAGGCTTGGACGTAAAACCTCTACCAGATCCGTCCGAGAAAACGTTCGCTTTCAGATGATCTGGTGGCGAGGCCATATCGTCTTTCCGAAACGGTGCAATGGCAGCGGAGCGGATGGGCTTAACTCACCTTCCTATTGCAGACTAGACACAGGTTAGCTCATACTACATACTACTAGCTACGTACTAATGGCGTCGATCTACTTCAGTAGGCAATTGAAGTTTTTTGCCTACTGCTACTGATGCATGGCTAATTAAACACCGGTGCCAGTGCCAAATCACCGCAGCACGTACTGTGCGTTCCACTGTTCAGGACTTAATTTGATCGATACTACTAGCATGCATATCTAAGTATATACCCATCGTAGCTAGCCGTAGAATAGTAACAGCAGCATCTATCTGCAACCCAACGTAGGCCATGGAAATACGAAATCAAACAAAAGCAAAGCATCGATTAAGTCTCGTTGAGAGCCATGCCATCGATCAAGCTAGTACAGTAAATAAGCAACTGGCAGGTGCCTATAATTTTATGCCGTGATGTGACATACTGACATTCACAGCAAGTTCTAAAGTCTGAAGGATGTGATGGTGCAAGTGAAGACAGTGGGAATCGTCTGAAGTATATTGTATCTACATTAGCTATCGCTGACACGTGGGATCGGGTTCACCTGTTAGCCAATACTACTGTAAGTATAATACCGTAGAGGATCCGTGTCCGAAGTAGCGAAGCTAATTTTGCTTTACAGTTTACAGTGATGGTGGTAAAAAGAACACGGTGAATTCTTGGGGAAGACGCACATGCGGCTGTGTTTCGATCGAATGATTCCCCTCACCTCACAGCGGTGGTCCTTCTGTACTACTGTTGCGATTGGGCACCGGGAACAGCGGAATAAATGGCAAAAGCCATCCCTGCGCTCAGGCCTTGCAATTGCAGGTTGGCGGAATTTTACAGAGTGTTCCATTAGTCTCTCTACCCCGTACATCATCATCACCCTTCACTGCCAGTACTGTTCCTTTTTCTCAGCCTCCCGTACAATGTTCGCAGCAGTAAGCTGTTGATCTGGTGGGTAGTAAGTTGGACTAGGACTTGATGGCGTGATAAACAGTACTGGATTAGTACGTGATTAAGGATGGCGAGATCAGAGATTCAGAAAATGGATTGGAGACTTCCGTTTGTCCTCCTTGGAAACTGACAAACATTTTTCCAGGAGAGCAAAAGCTTTACTGAGAAATGGGAACGCTAGGAATAGAGTACCTACCACAAACGAGCAACCAGCTAATTTCAGAGATCACTTTAGCCGCGACTCGTAGCAACACATACAGGGCCCAACAAACAGCAAATTAAATCTGGGACGATCGCCTGCACAATCTGCAGGGGGAGAGATCCACAAATCGGCCATGGCTAGCGCCCCGAAATGGCAAGCGAAATGTGCAAAGAAACCAGGAGCTAGCGGCCGGCGCGGGGATCTCACACTCCAACCGATCGACCGAGCTAGCAAGCAAACAACTGAAACCGGCATGCATGCAATGCGACGCAATGTGATGCGATGCGACGCAATCATGAACCATGCACCGCCAGTCGTGACTTGCGGCAATGGCACCGAATTGAATGAGTAAAACAAATTGTTCCCAAAAACGCCGCGAGATTTGCAATCAAGTCAATCGTCCAAACGGATGGGGGCAAGGGCAAGCCGAGCGAGCTAGCCTAAGCCTAGCTAGCTACTGGTCACCTGCCCACGCCGGGGGCCGGGCCAAGCGTATACTACTATTGACAAGGAACAGCACGCACTCCTCCGCTCGCTCGATCGATCGCGCGATATATGAACAATCGCGGGACCAGCCAGTAATTCGATCTCTCCCTTCGATCGGCCGCCGCGCCCGCACGCTGTGCCAGCTTCGAACTAACGATTCGCGTTGGAATTTGCGTCCTGTACTGGAACACTGTTGGATCGATCGGGTTCGCGCGCCTGACCACTCTTTGGTGCAGCGAGCTGTAGCGCGCGAGATTCCCCCTCCCCTGCGGCAGCAACAGCGCTGGTCAGGGCAGCGCCATGAAAGCGCATGGCATGCATGCACTGCACTGCACGCACGCACGCAGATGGATGGATGGATGGATTGGGCGATAGAGGGGGGAAGACGACACAGGCGCCGTACGCCGTCCACGCCACTCGCGGTAGCGCGAGGAAAGGACCATGTAGGCATGTGTAGTGTAGCGTCCACATATACCAAGCAGAGGCAGAGGCAGAGACGAGCCCCGCGCCGAGTTAAATGCACGCCCTCTGATCGGGTGGATGGATGAAGTGGGATCGCGATTGGCAGCGATGGTTCGTTCGTTCCTCCCGCGGCGACGGGGTGGGGCACACGTACACCGTGGGGGGTGAAATCACGGTCCTGCCCCTACTCCTCTCGCGGGGTGGAGTTACGTACACTGACAGTGAGAGGCCACTTTGCCGGCAGGAGATCGCGGCGCCCGAAGAAGATATCGAGTCGTTCGCGCGAGCCGAGTCGAGTCGTGCGTGCCGAGCCAGCCACACCGTACCCCCTCTCCTCTCCTCTATTTATGCCTCTACGCAGCGCAATGTGCCTCACTCTTTCGCTTTTGGCCTCTCTCTCTCTCTCTCTCTCTCTCACACACACACACACTCTCACTGACTCTGCTGCTGCATTAGTCACTCGCAGAGAGCCACAGCTCCCTGCAAAGAAGATCTCTCGTAGTGAATTGCCTCGATCACGTACTACTACACATAGACCTACTACTTGAGCCCGAGAGAAGAGGAGAGGAGGAAGAACCAGAGGGCGTCGAAGATCATCGGGGAGGAGTTTTCCTAGAGCTCGCTGCTGCTGTTGCTTTTCTCCGGCGATGGGGCGATCGCCGTGCTGCGAGAAGGAGGGGCTCAAGAAGGGGCCATGGACGCCGGAGGAGGACCAGAAGCTGCTGGCCTACATCGAGCAGCACGGCCACGGCTGCTGGCGCTCGCTACCCTCCAAGGCCGGTAAGCGCCGCTTATCTAGCTTAAATTTCTTCTCAACCTCTGCAATCCTAGCTGCAATGTTCGGTCGAGGCGATCGATCCTCGAGGCTGGCTACTCTCTGAACTCTGATCTGAGGTGCATGCAAACCGTGACAATCGTGTGCAGGGCTGCAGCGGTGCGGCAAGAGCTGCCGACTCCGGTGGACGAACTACCTCCGGCCGGACATCAAGAGGGGCAAGTTCAGCCTGCAGGAGGAGCAGACCATCATCCAGCTCCACGCCCTTCTCGGCAACAGGTGATCGATTACTTCGTTTTCGCATGGATGCATCATGCATACAAGATACGTAGTGCACAACTCTCCCTCCTGCTAGCTGCTCGCTCGTTCTTCACCTCGCACCCGGAGCACATTTAATTCCGTAATCGCGATGGAACCCTTGATTCTCCTGCACGAATTTTGACTGCTAGTACTTGTTGCTGACCGGCAGGTCAAGAACACACTAGCCAGTAGCCACCATTCTGCACCGTAGTCTTGGCAGACATTTATGAAAGGGTTATGCAATGCAAGGGTTGGAACACGGAGCTTAGCCAGGGGATGTGTAAATTTCGCAGGCCGTGCTACTTACTTGCTGTCCCCGTACACACCTGCTTCAGCATTTTGTCCGTAACAAACCGTACTGTCCATAGATTAACACACAAGCTAGGCTAAAAATTCTTACGTTAGAACAGAATCATCACTTGTTTTCGTTTTGTTCACACGTAATGCTGCATTGCTCATCTTTTGCCCGTCGAACAACCACGCATTAGCTGTGAGCACAGACCAATCAATGCATGCATCAACAAGGGAAAAAGTGTGAAAAGGTTGGGCAGTGAGAGGCTCGGCCCAGAATTTTCCTTTCTTTTCTCCCATATGATTCGGCATTCAAGCTCGTCATTTAAGGAGGCGAGCCCCCCCATCATTGTGGACCAAAACTGGGGTTTGGTCCACTGTTGCCACCTGCCCCTCTTCCCATTTTGACTCACAGCTTCCGATCATCTCTGCCCTCTGTCTGTACTACGCCACGCACGCCTTAAATCACACCGCCGATTATTTACGTTTTCAAGAGTGCTGTTTGTTTAATTTTGTCACTGCGAATGGAGGGCTTTTGACGTGCGATTTTCCTGATCTTTTTTCTTGGCCGGCGTTGGCGTTGTTGTTGTTTTGCAGGTGGTCGGCGATCGCGACGCACCTGCCGAAGCGCACGGACAACGAGATCAAGAACTACTGGAACACGCACCTAAAGAAGCGGCTGGCCAAGATGGGGATCGACCCGGTCACGCACAAGCCGCGCTCCGACGTGGCCGGCGCGGGCGGCGGCGGCGGAGGTGCGGCCGGCGGCGCGGCGGGCGCGCAGCACGCCAAGGCCGCGGCGCACCTCAGCCACACGGCGCAGTGGGAGAGCGCGCGGCTCGAGGCGGAGGCGCGCTTGGCTCGGGAGGCCAAGCTGCGCGCGCTCGCGGCCTCCGCGACCCCGGGCGCGCCGCACCTCCCGGCACCCCCCGCGTCGGCGGCGGCGGCGGCGGCGGCTCACGGCCTCGACTCGCCGACGTCCACGCTGAGCTTCTCGGAGAGCGCGGTGCTCGCCACCGTGCTGGAGGCGCACGGCGCCGCCGCCGCGGCGGCCGCGCGCGCCGCCATGCAGCCCATGCAGGCGTACGACGAGGCGTGCAAGGACCAGCACTGGGGCGACGTCGACGCCGCCGACGTGGGCTTCCCCGGCGCCGGAGCGGGGTTCACGGGCCTACTCCTCGAAGGCTCCTTGAACCAGATCCCGAGGCCGGCGGGGAGAGACGCGGAAGCCGACGGCGAGTTCCAGGAGACCGAGGAGGAGAAGAACTACTGGAACAGCATACTGAACCTGGTGAACTCCTCGTCGGCACCTATGTCGACGGCCGTGGTTGTGCCCGCCTCCCACGCGTACTCGCCGGCGCCGGACTTCTGAGCGGAGAAAACCTCGCCGGCATCAAACTTGATTCGATCTCATGACACAGTAAATAGTTTAGCAATGATTGTCGAATAAGATGGGACTAATATTAATGTTAGTAATTATTAATCACGTTCTTGGGTTAACCTGACAATGCTTTCGATTAAACTTGTGGGCAAGAACTTCAACTGTTCAAGGCTGTATCGACATTTGAAATTCGATGCTTGTTTTGTTCGGTGTTCTTATAGAATGTGTAAAACACTGAAACTACTATCAGAGAATGTAGCATCCTTACTTGCAAAGTTACTACTCCTGCTTGTTTTTTTTCAAAACTTACGATCATTTCAGTACTTTGTACCCGGTTCATTTCATTCCACTATCAGTTTTTACTACGCCCAAGCGGTTGGCAACTGGGCACTAGCACTACTGAAGGCCAGGGTTTCCCAAACCACCGGACCGGGGTTACCACACGGTAACCGTGTAAAATTTATCAAAATTTAAAATTATTTTTTAAATTTATTTGAATTTAAGGGGGTTACCGCGGTTTCCCTTTTACCGTACCCCACGGTAAGCGCGGTAATCGCACGGTTACAGACGGTTTTGCAAACCCTGCTGAAGGCAAACGGACGGCCTCATCTTTTCGCTTATACTTATGTTTATCAGTCAAAATTTAAATTTTTACCTTTAAATTTGGGGTTGATTTTATTTTTTTTATCGAAGGTTTATTTTTCAGTCTTTGCTTTTAGATCGTTAAAAATATATATATAAAAGATTTATTCACAAATTATTTTTTATTTACAAATATGCCATTTCGTTTATTCTCGAATAACCGAGACGATTGAGCTGTGAGCTTTTTACTTAGATTGGATCTGGGCCGGGCCGTTTTGTGCTGGGCCATATTGGGCTTTACCATAACTTTCTAGCCCACATCTAATAGCTGACGAGAAGGGGATTATTAAGGGTAAAGATAAGAGGAGGCAGCCCCGCACCATCGTCTTCCTCCTCTTATCCGCACAGGAGCCTCGGACTCGGACACGATGCTGGCGATGTCCGTCCACCCCGCCGCCACGCCGGCCCTCGCCTCGCGCGCCCGCATCTCCCGGCCCAAGCTTTCCGCCGCCTCCCCCTGCACCACCTCCTCCTCCTCCACTCCACGCCTCGTCCACCTCGGCAGCAGGAGGCTTCCCCTTCGCTCGCTCCGTGGCCTCGCCGCCGCCGCCGCTTCTGGCGCCGTCGAAGCGGAGGAGGGAGAAGAGGAGAAGCAAGTCGGAGGTGGGGATGCGAGCGCCGGCGAGGAAGCGCAGGAGGTAATGGGCTAGTAGCCGCTCCAAACCATGCCAGTGACTGAAATTACGGGGTTTTTTTTTTTACCGAGTCGAGCTCAATTTCAGAAGGAAGTGTTGTTTTTTGAAGAGGATGGAGTTCAATCACATTTGGTTTCGCATGAATTTGATTTTTCTTGAATCAATTTTGGTTACCGAACTGATTACTTGAGCTCATAGGTGAAATACAGTACGAGGTGTACATTTGGGTGAATTCACGAGTAGAGTAAATCTTTAGACACAATGCACAGCTGAAAGCTTAAGAGAAGTCACAAGTAGAGTAAATTAGAGAAGTTCTAGTCTAGTTGAGCATGTTTGGGCACTCGGGCTGTCCTTTTGGTGCAGTTTTGCACTTCTGCAGATAAAAGGTGTATGCTAGTGATGAAGAGGCGAAGAGCACATGAAAGCATGTCCACAAACTTGAGCGTGTGCCATTTTTGGTTGTATGTGTAAGCAAGAACTGAACTATTGAACAAACTGTAGCATTGACAGGTTTTGGTCATGAAAGGAGTTTTTTTTCATTCAGCTATTTACGTGATTATGTAACAACATTAACAGGCACAATAAGTTCCTTTTTCATCACTATATCAGATTTCAGAGATGTACACTAAAAGTGGATTAGTTTTGATTATATGGGAGTTACCCTCACAGTTGAAAAATGGGGCCTTTTGTAGAGAAATGAAGTTGTCAATGGAACACGTACAGTAGTTGTTGCAATTTATTTTACTACGACTTGAGCTGTGTTAAAACTGCACAATTTATTTTACTCAGATATGCAAAATCAGTATTAGCATTATGAGATTTGAAACGAATTGATTTTGTATCGCAGTACAAGGTTAAGGTGCCTGAAAGGCAGGATCCAATGCTTGTTCTGAAGTTCATATGGATGGAGAAGAACATTGGCATAGCCCTCGACCAGTTGGTTCCCGGCTATGGCAGCATTCCGTTAAGCCCATACTACTTCTGGCCACGGAAAGATGCCTGGGAGGAGCTAAGAGCAAAGCTGGAGGAGAAAGAGTGGATCTCTCAGAAACAGATGATCATCCTTCTGAATCAGGCCACTGATATCATCAACCTTTGGCAACAGGGTGGTGGCAGCTTGTCAACCTAAGAGGATATCTCAATTCTCCCATCCTTGAGAACCTTGTTTCTTTTTTTCTTGCTTTGGTTACACGGATCTTTGTTGTTACATGACCCTGTAGATCGATTCAAACTGTTTTCGGATACGGTTTTGTTTATGGAAATGAATTGTGATTGATCTCTGTAAGGTAAACGATTTGGGCTCCATCATCCGCAGGGAAGATTGCTAATACCTCTTGATACTACTATACCATGATCCAGTTAAATAAATGTAACTCGATATTTTGAACTTGAAGAAAAAGGGGAATTTCTTTTCTTTCGAAGAGATTTGGGGTCACGGGGGCATATACCCCTTCTACTGCGATTAACTAACACCGGTGATGCCCTGAAAAAGCCCGGCCCGCTCCGCGCACCACGAGCCTAGGCCGTCCACGCGTAGGCCTCTGCAAAACGGGCTGCGGCAACGCGTGAGCCTGTGCGAAACGAGCGTGAAAACGCTCGTGGACTCGTGGAGTCGTCGTGGTGCCCGCGCGTCGTGCTGCGACGCTCGTTCTCACGCCGCATGCAGCGCCGCGCCAGCTTGGTCACGGTCTCAAAAGCGTTCAAAAGGCATGGGAGCAACTGAGCAAGGCGTAGCAGCTTATCATCATCTCGGCCAAGGGGGGAGGAGGGGCAAGGCACATGGAGGCGTTGGGTTGGAGTTGGACCTCCTAGGTAGGGAAGCAGGAAGCTGGACTCGCTAGGAAAAAAAATAATGGAGAACCTGTACCGCGTGTACCAGAAGATAAGCTTATTTAGCAGTACTGATTTTTTTTTTTCTAATGAAAGGAAACAGAGTATTGTTAAGTCCCAAAGAGATAACTTATTTTTTTCCTCTTCGACAACGTAGTACTAACTTAGTACTAGTACTGTTTTCTATGATCAAAGTAGAATATTGTTAAGCTAGCTAGCACTACCAACTGTCCTCCCATAAGAAAAAGGTAAGTACTACTACTATAGTAGAGACTGACCAATCAACTCAATTGTGTAATGCACTGCTCAGATGGCATCTTTACCTTCTTAACACTCAACTTCCTTACAGAGTAACGTGCCGCTTTAGGCTTTATTACTTGCGATAACCGGAGAGAGAGGCTGGCAAAGTATACGTAGCTTCCCTATAAAGTTGTCCAAGTTCATCGCAGAGCTCCAGGCAGGCAGTATAAAAATGGGAAATGTACACCTGAAAAGGACGAATCAGCCCCATTTGGGAATCCCCTGCACGGCGTCAATCTCGTCATCTTGCCCTTTTCTTCCCATCGACCTGATGATTGACACTTGTGGCCTCTGGGGATTAAACTATTGCCACCATGGGCGATCGATCGATCGAGATTAGAGCAAGTATAATAGTGAGCTATAAGAAAGCTGAATGCTGAAGTGGATAGGAGAAAAGAGGAGAGAGATGAGAAGCGGGCTGTAAGTTTACAGCCGGCTTAGGCACAGGAACCAAGAAAATCTGTGAGACAGACATGTGAACCATATATTTATAGTGAAGAGTTAACCATTATACGAGTGAGCTGATAGATAGGCTATAAGTAAGCAGCTGGCTGTATTATTATCCTTTCTCTTAGGACGTTTTCGACATGATCAGGTGGTCTTTGTCTCTTATTTTTAAGGGGAGGCTGAGTCAGATAAGCACGGCGGTTTGGTGAGGCATCACCCCGTGGTGCTCACATGCATGGGTTCCACCATGAATTGGATCTCTAAAACCTAGTTTTGTTCGAGCTGCCATGTTTAGTACTACTTCATCAAATTAAAAGTTCCGGTGTACGGATCCGCTGCTGTCCTAGTCCTAGATCGATCCTCTGTGTCACGCTTATGGCCTGCACTGCCGTGAGTTTGGCAAAGAAAACCGTTTGGGATACTCACATATTCACAGTACAGCTTGTTCGATCTCTCCCATGGCTATGTAATTGTGTGTTTGATTATTTTAAAACAAAGGGAAGGATATTGGGTTTTAGCTTTAGTCATGTAAAAAGAAATGGTTTTATATATTTACCGAATCATGATGCATCTGCGGAGATAGTAACGAAAAAACACTCATCTAAATAAGCAAGTACATTAACAAGCGGCATAGGAGTGGAACGGATCAACTTGAGGTGATCAATATAAAGGGGGTTATCACGAGTACCATTAATAAAAGCACATCTATTCACGTGAACTCGACCTCTCAGCCCATTTGGTAGGTCAGAAAAGCGGACCTAAAACAAATATGCACTGTGGCTTGATTCGCCAGCTGGATCCAAACTGTCGAGACAATATTATAAAGAGTAAAGTCCATCACCGGTCCCTAAACTTTTACCGCTGTGTCATCCCGGTCCCTAAACTCGCAAATCGACCGTTTAGGTCCTCAAACTTGTTCGACTGTGTCATCCCGTCCCTAAACTTGCAGATCACTCGTTTAGGTCCACAAACTTGTTCAGTTGTGTCACCCCGGTCCCTAAACTTGGATTTGAATATCATCTGGATCAAATAGGACGGTCTAAAGACTTTATATTTAAAAATAATTCATAACTTTTTCATGTGAACTCTAATGAAGATAAACTTTATATCGAACTTGTAGCCCTCGACGCGATCTACACCTTTGTAGTTGAATTTTTTTTATTATAAGTCATTTTTTGTCCCAAAATGTAATATTAAAATTAAAATTTCAAAATCTATAAACATGCAACAATATTTTGGGACCCTAAACAGTTTTAATTCAAAAACTTTTCAACTACAAAGTTGTAGGTCGCGTCGAGGGCTACAATTTTGATATAAAGTTTGTCTTCATTAGAGTTCACATGAAAAAGTTATGAATTATTTTTTGATATAAAGTTTTTAGACCGTCCTGTTTAGGGACCGGGGTGACACAACTGAACAAGTTGGAGAACCTAAACGAGTGATATGCAAGTTTAGGGACCTGGATAACACAATCGAACAAGTTTGAGGACCTAAACGGTTGATTTGCGAGTTTAGGGACCAGGATGATACATCGGTACAAGTTTAGGGACCGGTGATGAACTTTACTCATAATTAAATGTATAGATATATGAAGGACAAAAGTAGGATGAAAACTTCACATATACACATTTTATTTTACGAATGTAAATTTATCAAACATACTTTTAAATAGAAGAATATATTTATCCTATTTAACAAATGTAGTAAGTTTTCTTATATTGAAAACACAAAAAAGATTATGCTCTGCATATTAAACAGATTCTACATAATACGCACCAGGTACACTAGTGCGCGAGCGCCCGTATCCTAGTTTATATTTTTTAGATAATGGAATAACATTCCGGCCTTTGCTCAAAGAGCTACAACCAATTATTACAATCTAACACTCTAGAAGAGTGTAGTTCAACAAAACATCAAAGACATCGAAAACAATCACCAATGTTTAAAGAGAGACCAAACTAAGATAAGGAGAACACATTTATTGAAGTCTATTTGTGAATCTCCATCCAAAATTGGTAAAGAGTTGCATAACCATCGTCTCAAGTTTCTGGCATGCAACTTTTATGAACTCACCATCTTCATTAGACCTTTGTAGTTGAGTCCAGAGCCGGAGCCAGTATGTTGCCCTAAAAATTACCTGCATATATGTAATAGATGGTGATTTATCAAAAACCACATTATTTCTGCACAACCACAGAGTCCAACATATAGCAGAAGTTCCTAGTGTTATATATTGCCAAAGACACAATTAATTAAGAGCACAGTTCCATGTGGTATTTAAAGTTTTTCATTTAGAGTAGTATGCTATAATCTTTCGTGGTTTGTTAATGTTGACTATTTGGCGTTTCCTTTATTCCTATCTTTGATTAATCTATTCGATATTATTATAACCAGTTTTGCAAATAAATATATTATAAACAGAAAAATTTCTAATCAAAGGTCCTACCAAAATGCATATTTTATGATAAGAACATCCTGTGCCTAATGATGGTTATTGCTACATTTCTTAATATGATATATTAATTCCACTCATCTAGTGGGCACCATATTTCTGGTTTTAATACATAATCTTTTTTTAGAGAAAATACTATACTCATGCACGTTATTGTGCTGTTAATTGTCATTGCGGTAACAAATTAACGGAAACTTAACCATTGCAACCAGTTCTCTGCGCGTGTTTTGATGATCCACCAGTCCACCACACAGGCACACAGCATCGGTCATGGGCAGATTAGAAAAAATATACCACTTGAATTTGCAAGCACTACACGACAATTATTAAGTTGACATGGCCTAAAACCTTTGTAGCATTCATGATAAACCCAGTCTGGTCATCATTTCTTTAAAGGGGGAATTCACCATATATATAGAAACTATGCATATAGTTTTATTTGAAAGTTTATAATGTTTACATAGTAGATTTCAAGCCGAAATAATGATGCAGTTCATAGTCGTGCTAAAAATTGGTTTTTGTACAAATTAAAATATCTATTTTAATAAAACAAAGAGTGGCCCAATATCGACAAAAGTAGGAAACCTATAGCCTGAAAATTGGTCATACAGATAAAGGTTATCGACAATGCGAATCTCCCACACGTGATTGACCTGATTCGTGTTAATATTTATGCTATCCTCTCTTATCTCATTGATTGGATGCACATGCATAGCAGTTATATTTCGAGAAACTTCTCTTGAACGCCATGTCATGGGTTAACATGTTGTTGAATGGTGGTTAAGAGTCCAAAGCTTATCTTTTATCTACTAAACTCATACAATGCTTACTAGCTAGCTAGCTAGGTTACTTTAATTTGTCGGAGCTTGCACGGCTTTGTTCATCTACCTGATTTATTTTAAGTTGTGCCAGATCAAACTATTAAAAACAACAAATTATTAATACTTATTTAATCCACAAAATTCTCTAAAGTATGTTTACTTAGGCTCTACTAGACCAATTACCAAGAGAACGGAATCCAAACGCTGGACAACCATTCAACCAACGATACTCATCGTTGTGCTTTGCACCCATGGTCAAAGCTATAACCACCGATGGTTACCTTTGTTGGACAAGATCTTGCTTTTTTTGCCCTCTGCCATGCAGACGATGATTGACACTTGGAATCCACGAGACTTTAGCATGGCCAAAAGTTAACAGTGCCCGGAAATTAAAAGCCAGGTCGCCGGCCGGCTTGCCGCTAGCTGCATCTGCTGCTTGCCACATCGGGAAGGCTGCATCCTATGCTCGTTTGCTACGCTGCAACGTGCAAGTCCT